ACATTTGTTGCTGTTGTGTCCTTCAAATTAAGACAGGGAGATGCCAGCCCTATTCCCATCCTTCTCTTCCTGAAGAGATTTGCTTTCTCTCCCTCAATTCCCCCTTTTTTTCTTTTTATTTATTTTCGTAAATAAAAATCGGGGAGCGGGGAATAGGGAAGGGGTCAGCATGTAATATTTTTGTATGGCATCACACATTCCAGACCTACACAGGGCACGTATAATAAATCACACACTACATGCTTACACAATTTACTGCTGCTGTGACAAGTGCTCCAAAGGTCAAAAAAGCTTCCTTAACAAATTTGATAAGATAATGCAGTGAGCTGTAACGGCATAAAGTCCTGGGGGCCATAGACCAGAATAGAAGAAATAATTATGCATGGTAATGGGTAATTACAGATAATGGCCTTTTTTGGGGGTGGCAGAAAACACACAGCCCCTCAGCCTTGCCTGGAATGAACACTGCCTAGCACATTAACTTTATAGCAAGCTAGAAGTTCAGCCCTGGAACAAAAGACAACCCGTAACTTCTGCTGAAAAACACCTGGAAATGGTCCCTGCAGAGGCAGAACTAGCACGAGGGCCTCGGCGCAGCGCGAGTGACGGTGCCAGCTTCCCGTTGACATCTGAAATAGCTCTGCCGTGATTGTCTGGTGGGAGAAACACATTGTTCCAGCGTTCCTGATTATTGCGGTAGGGAGTGATTTCACAGCAGCCTCATTCAAGGCTGCTGCCCGACCTCAAAGCCAGCCAGGAGTTGGGCTGGGGCGCTGCAAGGCTTAACGTAGCGGCGGATGGGAGGGCAAGGATGCGGTACAGCGAGCTGGCTGTGGATGCACGGCTCCTTGCGGGCCTGAACGCAAGTGTTTCCTCGCTGAGCAATTAATTTTTGGAGTTTTAATGGCCAGGCTGTCTGCCGTAGCAGAGCCTGGCTTGTGGGAAGACATAAACCCTGCTGTGGTGAAAACCATCACTCTTGATTAAGTAATACACAGGAAACCTCACTGGAAAACGGCTCTGTCTGCCTATGCTTGAGGAGATGTGTTACTGGGTGAATTCATTTCTTGTGCATTTTCAGTGCTAAATGTGTTACTCGAGTGAACACATTTCTTTCTTATTTTCAGTGCCTTATTTCCGTATGTGCAGGGTCTTTGCAGGGGAGTAAATAAATAAGTAGCTGTGAGGAACAAATAAGATACGTGCATAAAAAAAACTCATGCCAATAAATCAGACTGAAATTCTTTGGATTGTCCCACTGCATAAACAGCATCCGTTTGCTGATATATATCATCAAATGCAGGCTAATCACCTATTATAGCATTATTAGAAAAATTAGCAGCCCCACAGCATGCTCCCAGGCGTTGAAACTTGGCCCTATGAGCAGTCCTGATTTTTAGAGCAGTTTCTGGCTTGGCCACCTCCCAGTTTAGCTAATACTCCCTGCAGATTCCTGAGTGTGGCCTAAGCCATCCTGTTTTAGAGGGTAAAAAAAAAGATTTAATAGTTAGTGTGGAACCTGTATTGTTTGTCTCAATACGAGCAACTTCTTCAAGTACATTTTATTTACTGATGTCAATGAATAATAAGGTTTTTATAGGTAGCCCTTCTACAGTAGAAGTGGAAAATTAAACATTAGTGTTACTGAACTTCTGTGGTTTCATTTCTTGTTTCTGTACTTAAAAAATGCATATGCATCAACAAGATAGGGATGATAGAAATTCTCATAGATTCCCAGTCTTCTCTCTCTCCTCCTCAAAAGGTAAGAAGGGAAAGAATGACATATTCACAGGCTGCAGTGTTGGTTTTGCTGTGCACATCCACAATCCGTGTAAATCGCCGTGGCTTTATTGAAGTAAATGGTCTGAGACTGGTTTGCATTAACTGGGCACCGGACCCCTGCTTTTCACCTGCGCTGCTAAGTGAAGGCAGGAGCCTCTTGTAGGTTTCTGAATCCATAAGACCCTTATGTGTATCTGACCCTGAGAACTCACCTTCCTTAAAAAAAAAATCCTAGCCATCCTGAAATGAATTACTGGTTAACTACCATTAATTTGCCATAGAGCTAGAGTCGTGTACAACACTGCAAGATCAATAACAGTATTTATCATGCATCATATCGATTTTCTGTGAAAGAGCGGGTCATATTTCACATTGTGTACATAGTGGAAAAAAAGTAGCATCAGTTCTCTACGGGAATTAGTAAAGATAATAGAAAAGAGGTTAGAAATGCAACTGAAGTGATGCTGAACTGAATGAAGTGATACTGTTCCCTCACTGCAGGAGTATTGCTCACACAAGGATGCCTCAGATAATATTACTTTGCAGACTCAGTGCCGTGAAAACTATGGACAATTTTAGCAATTCCCTTTTCCTTCTACTCTGCGAATTCTGTTCCTTCTCATTCAGGTTCAGCCCCGAACCTTTGGCCATGATGCAGTTACAGTTTGCAGAAAGAAATCTCAGTGATGCAAATGGAAGCCTAGACTTAAGGGCAGGTTTATTTTCCGGGGGGCCAGGATTGTAGGTGCGGAAGCGCACAGCATAGGAAAGGAGCTGGGAGCCCTTTCCCATCCTTCCATGCGGAGTGGGAGACAGTCAAGGCTCTGGTCCAGCACCTGCAGCAACCCTGTTGCAGGTGGGGAGTTGGGAGTCTGACAGCACGGCAGCAATTGCTGTGTTGAAAGCTTAATTCCTGTTAAAAACTGCTCCCACTGGAATAACCAGCCTCAGGGCTGCCCCTTCGTGTGCAGGTGTTGCCGACATGTGAACTGCGGCAGGCTCCAAAAGCAGGGGAGGACCCTGTCTTTGCCAGCAGAGATGTTCAGCTGCATTGAATTACATTTGCAAAAAAAAAAAAAAGAAAAAAGGTGTGGGGGGAAAAAGCAGCTGAAAGCTGCATTCTTAACCTTGGTCTGCTGTCCTTGCTGGCAGCAAGCGCGTGCAGGGGCCCGCAGCCTCCCCTTAGCAGAATGCCTTCTTCTTGGAGAGTCACGAGAGGGGCTGTGGGAAGGTTCAGGGAGCAGATAGGAGTCAAGAACTGCCTTGCAGGCCACAGAAACCTCATGCTGTGCAGGGCTTTGGTCGCGGATGTTGCTTGGAGGAGGGTTATTTGGCTGTCCATGTCTGTGCTGGAGGGTATCGTGGTCCAGGGGCAACTGGGTAGCTGGTCTGAGCTGGAGAGAGCCAGCACACAGGGTGAAAACACCCCTGGATGTGTGATGAACAGGAAGGCAGTTCCAGGTGCCTTGATTTTATGCCCAGGCTGGGATATCCCTGGTATTCTCTGGCCAGCAGCTCTGCTCCCGCTTAGCGCTTCCTTGGAGGGACCTCATGTCTTGAAGACAGTGACTAAAAGGACCTGCTCTTCTTTCGTTCGTAGTAGGAGTAGATTACAGAGTTCAATCAAGGTAATTTTGGTGAAAGTGGAAGGCTGGATTCCATGGTAGGAGTCCTCATTCCCTACAGAGTGGAATGTGTCCCGTCCCTTCAACTTCCCTCGTTCCCAAGTCTCCTCATTATTTCCAAAATGATACTGGGAGTGTTTTCTTCAGGTGTAGCTCAGTCGTCATGAGTGAGGACTGTGGATTCCATAATTTATAAAGGAAGAAATGCCCCAGGTTGCTTCTGCCTGGGGATCAATGTGTGTGTGTGTGCTTGGGTAGATGAATGAACAGGCGAACAGCCTTAGATACTCTGTTGAGTCTTGAGATAGCAGCACATAGTCCTGTGCAGGTTCATCAGAGTTGCTTTTTCAGTGCTGGTGGTCAATGCTCTTGTGTAAACCAAGACATGGACGAGATGGACTGGAAGGCAAGATGGACTTGAAGACAGGGCTAACCAGAAGCAAAATAATAGTAATAAAATGTTGTATGAAAGTGCAGTGCAAAATGTTGTTAGCGTTGTATACTCTGTTTAAAGTGCAAGCTTGAGAGGTATTCGGGATGAAAAAAGTCAGATGGACAGTTTTATGCTCATTTAAGGGCTGAGGAACAGAAAAGTCACAATCATGAGACGTGAGATGTTCTGTTTTGCTTATAAATGTGTAAAGTTCATTGAAGTCAACAGAATGACTGCAGCAGCAGGGCAGTGGCACTGATAATTTTTAGTGTCCTGGAATGATACCATCTTTGATTGCAAAAAGCTTACATTAAGAACTAAAGAAGTGAAATATAGTTGGGTTGAAAATGCTTAAAATTGTTAAAACTGATCATTGCATTTAGCTTGCAAATAATACATATTACATTGGAAAATATTCCAGGGCTGTGAGAGGCTGGTGAAGGCAACCTATTAATTTTACAGGTAAGTAAACAAGGTGGAGCAATACAAGGAGATGGGAACAAAACCATCCAGGCAACATCTTTGTGACGTCTCTACTAGGGATGTTACTTGACATGTACCTGTTGTCCATGCTGCTTCATCTCCATGCTGATAACCCACATAGTGAGACGAGGTCTTGCTGAAGAAGCAGCAGCCTCTCGCAGAAGGTGAGTAGGGCTGTAGCTGTGTTTGCTGTATTCTTTATTTACAGACTAGCACGTGGCTAGGCCAGATTAGTGTTCAGAGAGAGCTTAAGCGTGCAGCAATGCTAGCAAGCTCTAAAGACATGCTTAGAAGGTGTCTTCTCACCTGAAGGGTGTAGATATAATGGGGTATGTGAACAGTGTCATCCGGTGGCTAAAGCCTTTTGCTTCCAGAGGACTGAGAGATGTGACACTCTGGTGTAATTAATTTAAAAGTAACAGCAGTTTGAGAACTCATCACACTGCCTTAACCTTTAGCTGTTTTTCCTGCCCTTGTGTAGTCTGCAGTGTTTGTGTGTGGAGGCTCCAGGCGACCATCAGTCCATTTGACTTTCCAGCAGAGTCAGCTGTTCTTCCCCTTCAGCCCCCACTCCTTCCTATTTATTATCCTCTGCCCAGCCTCCAAGAGAAGGAGGCGAAAGGAACGCCCTCTGTATATCCTCCTATTTCATAATTGCTTGTGTTTCTCTTTTCCAGAGGGACGGATGCTCATTCAGGACATCCCTTCCATCCCCAGCAGAGGGCACTTGGAGAGCACGTCTGATTTGGTTGTGGACTCCACCTACTACAGCAGTTTTTACCAGCCATCCCTGTATCCTTACTATAACAACCTCTACAACTACTCCCAGTACCAAATGGCAGTGGCCAGTGAACCTTCCTCGAGTGAGATGGGGGGTACACTCGTAGGGTCCCCCATGAAGAACAGCCTACGGAGCCTCCCCGCGACGTACATGTCAAGCCAGTCAGGAAAGCAGTGGCAGGTATGGTGCTACAGAGCTGTTAAGTGTGAGGTGGACAATAATTGTGTTTGTTTCGGGGATTGGTTCTGGTTTCTGGTATGCTGACTTCATGAACCAGATTCCAGATGTGGCATCAGGACACATGACGAGGGTTAGGTCAGAGCCAAAATAGGTGGTTATCATATGATGCAGTGCAGTCAAAGCAATGGTATTGACGTAACTAGGCTGTTTCCAACACAAATGAAGGGCATCCACTTTACTTTATATTTTTTAACATAGCATTCTTGGAGCTCCAGATGTCACTTCTGATAGGCTTGCTTTTCAGGAACATATTTTGCTTTTCCATTTTTCACATGTAAAGCAATGTCAATGCAGAAGTGACCCTTTTGGTCAGGCCCAGGAGATAATGTTGCTCTGTAATTTGTTCGTAGCAGTCACTTGGGTGAGACACAGAGGTATATTTATGGTATGCTTTAATGGTAGGGGTATATCATTAAAGCATAACATATATATGGGTCAACTCCCGGCTTGGGTTGCAACTGAGATAGCTCAAGTTAAAGACTATGTATATTAAGTTAGCACGCGAGTAGTTTGTTTGTTGGTTTGTTTTTGAACAGCTCCAGGTGCTTTGTTAATTACAGCATAAATCCAACCCAGCAACCTTGCTGTAGGGTTTGGTAATTGTAACTTCCTGCTTTTTACCAAGAGGAAGGGTAAATCTGCCAAGATAAGAGATTTCTTATCTTTCTCGACAAAACAAGTCATTCCAGTGACTCTGGATGCTCTGCTTGGTCTTGGGCTGCAGTTGAGCCTTTATGTCTGAGATTGGGCTTGATGAAGTTGTACTGCACGGGCTGTGTGTATCTGTGTCCCCATTTGAAGACAGGAGAGGGCAAAGCTCTTCTCGAGAACATCAGGCGAAGATTGGTTCCCTTCTGCAAAAGTTCCTATGAGAAGCTGCTCAACCAGGAAGGATTAGATACCCACCAAAACTTCCTTTCTGAAGTGGGTGGATGGGTGTTCTTTTTAGCTGGCAGAGGATTGCTGTGATGTACTCTGGTGCAGGGAGTAACTTTGAAAGGGTATTTTAACTTCAAAGCCTGAACTAACCAGGTGATTGCAATTCCTCTGCTAGTCCCCATCACGTTGAGTAAGGTTTTCCTGGAATTAGGCACTTGGAAAGAACCCTCCCTGAAATGCCAGCCAGGGCAGTAGCTGACATAGCCACTAATTTTAAGCTCATCAGTACTTAGCACTCTCTCCAGCACTAAGTCTGTTTTCCAACAGGAGTAGCCTTTGTACTGGGAAAACAGCTGATGACCTCCTTACCAATGTTGGAGCCCAAAACCGCAAGATCTTTCTTCTCTGAACGTGTTGAAATGTTTCACTTTACCCACCTTCACATACATGCAGATACACATTTTCAGTCAGATGCACAAGTAGCAGCCTCTGGAGTGGCCAAATCAGGTTTCCAAATTCTGCTGGACAAGCTGAGAAGAGGATTTTGTTTATGGGAATGAAGTGCTAGTGCCCTTTTAGGTTTAATTTTGGTCAGTAGCATTAACAGGATGCAAAGCATGAGAGTGTTCCAGGTAGAATGTTATTTCTAAGGATTTTGTAGGACCTAGTATGGAAGAGCCTGTGGGACAGCTGATCCTCAGAGGCACTACCACAATATCAAGAAAGGGCAACAACATTTAAATCCTAGAGGTGATGTTCTTGTGGGCTGTTACTGCCCTGCTTCACAATTTCTTTAACCAGTAGAGACTTCTTTAGTTTTACTTCCTTGAGAAAAGGGAAAGTAAAATAGCTCTATTGACTTCCTGGATAGTTAACCGTGTTCTGAGGAGGAGATACATGAGAATAAGCTGCGTTAAACTTAGGAGTGAAGATTGTATTCTCTCAGTTTCTGTCTTACAGTGTAAACTTGAACCTAGAATATTTGTTTAAAGAGTTTTGGACTGGAGTGTATTTCAGAGAGGTTGTATGTTATTCGTAGAACTTTTGACGTATTAACTTACAGTCTGACTTGCAGTGACCCAAGTGCTTTTTATATAAGGCTATACTTTCTACTGAGGACACCTATTAAATAAATACAAGCAATCGTGTCTTTCATGTATTTTTCTCCTGGGCTCCTGCAAAATCCTGAAATCTAATTTCTGTTCAACTACCAAAGAGTTATTAGGAATAACCAGAATAGGAATAACCAGAATTAGGAATAACCAAAAGTCATTAGGAAAAATAAGGTATTATTATCCAGAAAGCATCGTTTTGTTTCCATCAGCTCCTCAGAGCATTGGATGTTTATGTCCCTTACTCACGTCTACGTGAATTATTGATTTATCTCACGTAGGGATTTGAATCTCTCCAGACCAAACCTGCTGGGTCTTGCAGAGCTGTACGGATGAAAAGTCCATGCAGAGATTAGAGACGAGGCTTTCTGTCTGCAGAAGTGGCAGCTTCCCAACTTTTAAATGGCTTAAACTCAGAGCTCGGGACTCTTCTTAGTAGCACAGAACGTAGTTCAACAGGTTGTGTTGTCTTGTAGCTTTTTCTGATTATTGTTGGAAGAGTTATGACTTAATAGCAATTTGTGTACTGTTATAATAGCATATGGCATTGCACAGATAATCATAAAAAGTTTCATAAAGAGAGGTAGACCAGGTAGTATTTTACGGCATTAGGTGCAGTGAGATTTGGACGGTAAAAAACTGTATGGCATTAAAGTAAGTTTGCCATAAGGGAAATGAACTACTAAGTGCTGCATAGGTTGAACATTGATTCTGTGCATGGAAGGGTCTCAGCAAAGGGACACCACAGAAGTCCAGTGTCAGATGAAGAAAAATGAATGCGTGTCCCCATCGAATACAGCAAAAGGCTGCAGGAGAGTTTGAAAACGTCACCTGCGAAGAGGAGTCTTCACTTAGACCTTTGATGCTGACACGTTTTCTCAGGAGAAAACGTGTCCCCAGATGAGCACAGTGATTTTTGCTGGGCCGCTTGAACTAATAGGGTTGTTGCCTGCTGTACGTGCAGTACTAGTGATTCTGCCCGTGGTTGGTAGTGCCATAGCTGTTCTCCTTCAGATTTTGCCTTTTTTTCCTCTTCACCAAGATGACAGCTATGCAGTGCCAGCTGTGACCAGTGCATGGCAGGTTGATGAACTTTGACGATGAGTCTGCAGGAAAGTTTCTTGGTTGGTATGAGCTGCTTCACTGAAAAGTAACCTAAGATAAGCAGTAGCATAGACAGGACACCTGCCTTTTCCAGGCGCTGTTGGTGGAGGCTTGCTTGTCCTGGGGTAACTGTAGCCACACAAGGAGAATTGCATACCTCGAGTAAGATAATTTTTGGCTGCCGATGAGGCCTTGGGGAGCCCAGCGTCTCAGAATTTAGGGATCAAGGGAGAAGAGCTGGGGAGGAAACATGTGCGTGTGCGTGGGATGGGATGAGGATTAATGCATCATTGAGCCTTGGCAAATAAACTGAATCATTGAATCTTTAATGTAGATTAATGTCAGATTTCATTAGTCTTTGTTCTTTGCAGAGGCTCCTGTACTGGAGTATATAAATGAAGCTGGGAATTTTTGCAATATTCCTGTGGAGGTTTTGTTCGTTTATTTTTATAATTACCACAGAAGACATATCTGTTGTGTTGTGATGAGCACTTTTGACTGAAGTCCTTTCAGTCATTTACATTCTTCTACTTTTGCTAGAAAGCAAAAGCCTAAAGGCAGATAATCCTGTATGTTTGGTAATGCATCTTAATAAATGAGAAAATACAAGGCAAGGTCTGAGGGGAAATGTAACAGATGCAGTTTTTATTGTACATCTCCCTTCATTCCAGTTCTTTCACAAGCAACAGGGCCCTCCCCTGAAGCTCCAGTAATTGTTCATTACAACAGGAATTTATGTGCATTAAATCCAATTAACAGTTCAGGCCCAGCATTGCTGCCTCAGACTGGAGCATAATAATACATGGTGAAGGTTGATGCAGTCTCCTAGTTAGCCTGGGTTACTATTTCTGGAATTAATGTATTTCAGAAACATAGTTCCCAAAGTAGTAGAAAGTAGTGGGATTCTTTCTTCCTAATTCAGGAAGTAGTGGACTTTGTGTGTCCAAGTACACAAGTAGTGTGTCCAAGTAGTCTTGAGAGTTCAGGAAACCTCTGCTACTTGGAATCTGGACTCCGTCACCTCTGCCTAAATCTGTAAGTGTAATATAATAATTTGAAAGTGGAAAAAGTGCCCTGTCTTCTCTCTGAAGTATATTGCATTTCCAAAAAATCCATAGTTTGAACTGAATGGAAACCATTCCTAGTTCATCTCAAGTTTGCTTTGTGCTCATTCAGCTATTACTTAGAGGTTTGTTTAATCATTAGAAAAGCGATTGCAAGGGAAGGGTCGCAATTTATCAATTCTGGGTGAAGAAAAAAAATGCTTGTCCCAGTAGTTCATGTTACAATTGTGAGTGAATGTTTTAGAGCTCGATGTACCTTGTTGGTTAATAGTATGTGTGGTAACCACTGTTAATCCTGATACATTTCCTTTCAGAGGAGGCAGGTAAGTAGTTGCACTCATATCATAAGGCTCTCACAGAAGAACAAGAACTTACATGCAGAAGATTAAGAAAATAAAAAATCCGTAGTATAAAAAGCAGAGGATACTGAGAGACTTGTCAGGATTGAATGAGGGAAAATTTTTATCAGCTTGCAAGCTAATTGGCAAGTTTTGGAGGGAACCTCTTTCAGAGGAGCTGTTGGACACATATCTGAAGAGCCTGGCTAAGCTCCCAGTTTGCCCCAGATCTTTAATAGCAAAAAGCTCCTAAGAGTGCCTTAGCCTGTAGAATTGTCAGGATTATATAATAGGTCCTGTTGGGCCCTATATATTGTGCACCTGAGTATCCCAATATGATGCTGAAAGCCTCTTGTGTTCCTTTACGGGTGCTCTGCCTTTGAGGGAGATGTGTCAAAGCTTCAAAGCCCGACATCCTTCTAGGTCCTGCACGAGCTCCCCGTGCCCTCCTCCTCCTTCCGTAAAGAGCTCAGGAGGATGATCAGTCCTCCCGTTGCCTGTAATGAGCACAGACACCAGAGTGTAACTGAAAACCAGCATCACTAATTTTATTTAAACTACATAAGAGACTGTGTTAAAAGGGGACATGGCAGGATGCGGCAGCTTGGTGGAAGCAGCTGCTGGGAAGACGTGTTTTCCACTGTCCAGCAGGAATGGTGGCGTTCCTTGGGAGGGAGCGGATTTCCGTCCTCCGGCTGCGCCACAGGTGGGTAGGGCAGGACGTGGAGGTTGGGCTCCTCTTGGGCTTTCCCCTGGGCTTGGACCTGCGGCTGCTGCCCGTGGCTCCTGCGAGCTCGGGCTGAAGGTGGTCGGGGTCTTGCACGTCCTGCGCCGGTGCCATGGTCTCTGCGCGAGCACTGGTGCTGCGGCCACAGCTCCGTATCCTTGGAACAACCCTGGAGCAGAGAGGTTGGACTAGATGGTCTCCCGAGGTCCCTTCCAACCTTAAAAATTCCGTGGCTCTGTGATTCTGTTAACACTGGCCTGGAATGTTGGGGCAGATTTCAGAATTTCATGTAATTTCTCTTTCACTCTGAGGTTCCTTTTTTTTTTTTTTCCCCCTCTNTTTTTTTTTTTTCCCCCTCTCTTTTTTATTAAAAAAAAAAAAAAAGCTCATCAAATCAGCCTTTTCAGCTTTATATTTTTTTTTTCCTTACTTAAAAGATTTTAACCTGAAAACCTGAAGTAAGTATTGGTAAGAGCCAGACTAAGAAATTTTAACTGATTTTCTGAAATGGGAGTTGCTCTTTTCATTCACAAGTGAAATAACTAGTGTCACTGTTTTAGAAAGCTGATTTATGTTGATTCCTAAGAGGCATCAGCCATTTAAAACTCCTTTTTTTACTAAAGTACAAGTGTATTTGTGACTGGGCAACTGCTAGTTTTGATTCTAAGAGTAGCTGCTTGCTAGTGAATTAGGTTGCTCTTTTCAAGGCTTATGATTTGTTTCAGGTCTTTGGCACAGTTTTTCCTTCAGTAAGCCAGAAATTGATATTAAATGGCTAAATGCTTACATATATACATATATATGTACATGCAAATATATACATATTGTGGAAGCCCCCCCGACACAATCCCAGTTTTCTGCATTGCATACTGTATTCATAACGTACCCTTCACACTACAGATTTATGCTAAAAGTATCCTAATGTTTCTGACAGCTCATGTGTGACGTGAATGCAATCCATATTTCTTAGAGGAGCTAATCTAAGCGGTTTATTTTCCGATACTGCTGATAGGGCTATATCTCTGGATGTCACCGCAGTTGAGATTCTGATGGTAACATATTGTTTAAGGGTCACTGCCTTTGTCTAAAAGAATAGGTTGGAACAGAATAGCAAAGGTTAATTAAGTTTGTCTATCAAGGAAGGACAGATATAAATGTCTCTTGTTTTTTCCATGCTAGAATCAAAGTAAGTCAGTGCAGGGTGTCACAGTGGCTTTTTCCTCGTGCCGTAAAAATCTGCTTAGTCGGTTCTGGGAATGAAACAAAACCACCTTGAGCAGTGCAGGTGCTGTGAGGGCAGCACTATTGCAAGACGAGAGGGTTGCTGCAACCCCAGTCTCTAGCCTGGGAAAATGGGGCACAGAATTTATAAAAGTCTTGCATAACTTGGCCAAGGCCATGGGTGGAGATTGGGCAGAGATCCCACTGTTCCGTCCGGGTTTTCAAGCCAGCAGCCTTTATTTGAGCATCACACCAGAAATGGACCTGTGGATTCCTCTGTTTTCAAAGAACTTGTGCAAATAAAGAAGAAAGGCAATTTTATGCCCCTAAGACTTCCAAAGGCGCAACAAGGAGTTTGTGCTAAAGCTCGAGCAGAGCCTCCACGGGGCTTCAGTAACTGCTGCAGAGAAGCTCTTTACAGTCGCTGAGGCTGAAGGAGAGGTGATGGGGCAGCTGTGTCTGACCTGTCCCTTTGCAGCTTGTGCTCTTACACTGTCTTCTCTCAGCGCTCTCCTCATCCAGAGAGGATGTGCAGATGCTGACAGCACCTGGGAGAAAGAGTCGGGCTTGACCTTGCTCCTCCACCACGTCTTGACATGTCCTCTTGGAAGAACTCTCCAAAATGATCCAAATTGGTGGAAGGAGAGTCTCTTTATAATCCTGTGGTCTTAACGCATCCCGTGGCTGGATGGGGAAGTGCTGGGATAATGGAGAAGCTCGAGTCCGTGCTTGAGGCTGTCATGGAGAGGACACTCAGACAGAAAAATGATGTGTTATAATCCTGCAGATAATGAGAAGATTTTTCAACTATGTGGCCTGAAATAAGAGCATTAGAAGTATTTTGGGTCCCTGCTCTGCCAGACCAAGCCCTGCTTGCAGCCACAGCAAGACCTACCAGAGCAAGACTTTCCAGAGCCGGAGGAGTTAATTCAGAGCAAAGAATTGGCTAACAAACTCCTGAGCCCCCTTTCTGATGCAGCGCTGAGGTCAAGAGTTTTTACGACTGGTTGTTTTTTTATTGTTACTGTAAAATAGGATTGCTAAGCACTATAAAAAGGAAACCTTGTGGTTCAGATTTACTGTGGTGTACATTCTGAACAGTTTAATAAAACAAAACCAAAAGCTTTTAGATTTTCTTCAGTGGTTAATACACAGCATATTCTTTGCAGAGCCAGAGCTTCTAGCTGTCGGTTGGACTGTGGTTCATAGACTTGGTGTGGGTAATAAGATTATAAAACATGTCTCTTGCTAGCCAGCTACCACACACTCATAATAATAGTAGTAATAATTCATTGAATCCAGAGATTTTAGGTGAGTTGTTTTGTTAAGCAGTGGGGGGAAAAAAGACTAAAAAATGATGGTTTGATAGGAAACAGGTGCCTGCACGCATTAGGCAGAGAAAGGAAACAGGAACGTGGTAATTTCAGTGCCAAGGAGCCATCCCTCCATTTTGCTACAGCTAAAACAACACCGTCCCCAGCCGGGGATGCTTTGTAGTGGTGTGTGTGCACATATGCACCCGGGAGAAGGGGAGACCAGAGAGCGGCATCCCTGCCCGTTGTCCTGCTCCTTGGAGAAGAGCAAGGCAGCAAGGCCTGGAAAGGTGGGCAAAGAAGAGCTGGAAAACGTCTCTTTCAGTGCTTCCAGAATTAGCCAGTCATGTAAGCATTCAGATGGAGCTTTTTTTTTTTGGCAGTTGATACTGCCAGCTGGTAATTTCCAGGCAGGAGGAACCCACGACTTGCTCACAAGGAGCATGCGGAAGCATGGACCTGTGTGCCCAGGGCACAGTGGAGCAGTGGCGAGGTCAGTGGCTCTGCAGGGATCCTAACAGCTCTTCAACCTCAGACTGTCTTAGGATGCCACATAAGAAGTCCCATGTTCTGTAATTTGTGTGAGATTTGCTTTGCTGTCACTGCAATGAAGTGTTGCTTGACTTAAGGTTATCTTTTTGTTGTTTGTGCATGCACAGGATGCAGGCAGTTAAGCCAAAAGTCACCATGTAAGTATTCTTTTTCATTATAATAGACAAAGTCTTATTTTGACAGGCTGTAAACTTGTCCTGCCTGTCCCTCACTATGGTTGTGTTGCTGCCACGAAATAGACAGAAATGTACTTTGTTTTTAGAAATTCCTGCAAGGGAGTAGTTGATATCTCTTGAATTTAATCTCAGCCCAAGCTTAACTTCGGACATGAGCTAAGATGTTGTCTTGTGTCAGAGAATGCCAGAAAGCCACACTATTTCTGCTTTGACAGTATTAAAAGTAATATTGAGTACTAAAGCAGTTAGAGAAACACTAGAAAACAACCAGATAACCAGTTGCTGTGCACAGTTACCAGCTAAATGCTCTGAGAAGGGCTGTGAAGCACCAGGCTGGATATGAAGCCAAGTGGTCCCCAAGTGGGACCAGAGGGGACAAGGTGAAAGAGGCAGAACTCTTATTTAAAGGATACATGGGCGGAAAAGGCTCTCCAGCACTTTGTCTTGCAAAGAGAACTTCTAATGTCATTGCTTTGCATGCATTCTTGAGAGTGCATGCGTGTATGCACTCTTTTTTTTCTGATATAAAACTAAAAAAGTTTTTTTTTCTCTGACCATAACATATCTGTCTTATGATAATTCCCTCCATTAGGGAGACCAGACAGTGCTATCTTTCCTATTGGAATTCATGATCTTCTGGAGTGTTGGGCAACATTTCTTTAAAGCGTCATGTCCCTGTCACGTTGTAGAGCTTTCGAACTAAAGGTGCTACTTCTTTTATAAAAACAAAACAAAAAAAGACACCACAGCCTTTCCAGGGAGATTGTTTTGGATCATTTCAGGGTGTTGAGGTAGGACAAATTTAATTTCTGATTCCAGGTTGGTACCAGGAGCAACTAACATTACTCCTACCCTGGTGGGCAGTAATAGAGAGGAGGTTGCTTGGTAGGTTTTCAGACATGGAGTTGACACAGATGATTTGGTAATTTTTTTTTCCACTTAACACTCCACTGCAGACTTCCTGTGTAATCCATCCATCCATCCATCCATCCATCCATCCATCCATCCATCCATCCACAACTTGGTTTCTCCTCATAAAATAAGGAAATTACTCCATCTCATTGGATTTTTAGAAAATGCATGTCTGTGTGTGTCATGATCAAATTCAGTCAATTATGTCCAGAAAGAATAGGTAGAACTGCCTTCTTAAACCATCTGGTGGGTTCTTTGCAAAGTGGTTGTACAAGTGATATTGGACTTGTTAGTTTCTTTGGGGCTGTACAGACCAGGTGGACACTTCTCCTCTGCAGCTGGTTGGTTGGTTGTAGGTGAGGGTAAAAGCAGAGCTATGTGAAGTACTTCATGATTTGACTTCTCTTCCAGTCCCCTTCTCTTCCACGTGCCATGATCCCCTTGGTCCAACAAGGTCGGTCCTTGTGGGCCAAGAAGTCACAAAAGCCGTGCCAATGTCAGCTTTCATACATTCTGGTTGTCTCTCTGACAGATGAAGGGCATGGAGAACCACCACGCCATGAGCTCCCAGTACCGGGTGCACTCGTACTACCCTCCCACGTCGTACCTGGGCCAGGGTGTCGGCACGGCCGCGTGTGTCCCGCAGATCTTGACCTCCGAGGACATCCCCTCATACTCAGAACTGAAGGCAAGAGGTAAGTGAGTGGTCACCCTCTCTGTTTCTGCTGCCTTGTGAACGTCGAATGGACATGAAAAGGCAAGGTGTGCTCGCGGGAAGAAGGTCTCTAATGCAGAATGCTCTTGTATTGCAGTGGTACAAGGCCATGTTTTAGAAGTGTGTTAGTTAAGGAGGGTTAGTTGGTTGGTACCTTTCTGCTCCTCATTTGTGTAGACCATTGAAAGTGTTATTTGAAGTGTCTTCTTTCAATGCTTATGAAAAAACTACCTGCAAGGAACATATGCTGGAATCAAAGACTCATCCTTCCTCTCTGTTTTTTTCTCAGAACTGCTGTTGATACATATTTTTTTGCTCTCAGGATCCACAAGCCCGAGCCTTTGCTACCTTGTTCTGCCTGAACCATGTACAGAAACTATTTCTGTATCCCAGCCATGCAGTGAAGCCCGTGACAGACTTGCTTCCTTTTTTGCTGTCAAACTCATATCATTTCATTTAGAATTACCCCAGATACATTTATCTACTGACATCCAGTCTTCTTGACTCTGCAAAGGTTACTGCTCATCTGCAGTTCTTCTTAGCAGAGATTTACCTGTGTTGGCACTGTGGTTCTCTCATTTTCTTTTATCTTGCTTCCTGGTTCTCTTGCCTCTGTTCTGGACAGAGCACCTCTGTGGTTGTTAAATGGCCTTGCTGGAGCAGATCAAAGTCCCTTTAACTGTTTCCCTGTCTCTGGAAAGGGGATGCATGGAGAAAGAAGAAAAACTGAGAAAGAGTAAAGTGATCCTACTTCATGCTTCCAAAATCCCTCCAATCCTGCGTCATTCCGTATGTATCCTCAGTTCATGATTACTTCTCAACTACCATTTTCACTTACTATCTGCAGACCTGCATGCCACAAATTGAAATAAAGCCTTTCAGTAAGCTCCTTTATGCCTCTGGTTTCTTTGTAGCAATGAATTCAGCAGTTTAATTCTGTACAGTGTGTGGGAATTTTTGTGCAGTGACACCACTGACTACAATATCCTGCCTCATTTGCTTCTCTGCTGCACATATACATTGAAATGAATCTTCCGTGGTGACACGCACATGCTGAGCCTTTTTCATACCTGATTAAGGGAAGTGTATTACATACGTTCCATAATTATTTTCAGCCATGTCGTTTTTGCTGCTGATGTTCTGGTGTCTGCTGAATTTCTCTGGCATTGGAAATACGGCCGTGCTTGTGTCGTGGCAGAACCTTAAGGACTCAAATGAAGTTTTGGAAGGTACGATACATTCCAGATCTGCAGCTGGCATAAATCAGCGTTGAGCCCTTGAGTTCAATAACTCTGGAGTGATTTATACTAAAGAGGTGGACTGTTGTTTTGGAAGTGGCTGTTTTCTGAAAGTCTTCCAGCTAAATGTGACGTATCAGATAGATGAAGAAACAACACCAGGTGTGAGAAAATCTTACACTTTTCCCTCTTTTTTTTTCAGTAGTTTTAAATGGCTTGTAGAAATCAGTGATCCTTGCTTCATTTTCCTTCTCTTTTCTTCAGTTTTATTTTCTTCCCTGCTCTCTGGCCACCACTGAACGATGACGTCTGGTGTTCTGATGATTGGTCAAAGAAGCGTTTGGCTTTATGCTCAAGTGCAGTTGACACTTTTTCTTGCATCCATCACTACTAACTCACTAAGAAGTCTTACCAGTTGAGTGTTCTTACAAATAGACAAAAGACCTTACGCCCTTTGTTCCCAAATGCACTTCAGTAATTTTTCATCACTCTAGGAAAACAAAAAAAAAAAAAGTTGTGTGTAATGTGCCGCTGATTTTTAAACTGCATAAATACTGTATTTTCAATAATCCTTGACTGCTTCTCCAGACAGTATTCCACACACAGATATTGTTCCCTAAGTTACACCATCAATCAGAAACCGACAAGCAGTGAGATGTAATTTACTGAGATCAAACAGCATTTTCCAGACTCTGAAGAAGTGCTTTTCCATAGCAGGGAGCTAGTGGGTGGAAGGGGCACCAGTATTTTTGTGAGAAACTTGCACATGTGAACAGGACCCTTTCAACTTCCATCTGTCTCTTACAAGAGTCTCCTTTCTCCATGTGTCTGCTCTTGATGGCTATGGCTCCTCTAACTTTCCATCCAGAAACAAAATAGTATTGCAAAGCTGCTAGTCCATGATTTACACTCCTGTGAAGTTTTTTCTTCTGTACTTCTCGTAGTCTTTGGAGAGCTTTTGGGGGGTTTGTGGTTTTTTACTAATCATTTGTGTGGATGCTGAGTCAGCCAGCAGGCTGTGACCACTGGATCCTGTGTAATATTTGACACTGGTCCCTTCCCCCAAAATACTGCCTGCAGGTCTTGTTTCTTGCAAAATACATGTTCTTACACATTTCACCACTGACTGTCGGACTAAACTGTCTGTTCACGAGAGCTTTATGTGGAGCAAAGACTTCGCTGTGTTTCCATGGGGTTAGTGGTTTTTAAAGACAACTCCAGTGCACTTTTAAATTAGCAAGTCCAGGTATTGTGTCCTTTTCTGTGCATGAAATAACACTATGCTCAGAGAATTATTTCCTTTCTAAGAATACGTAGATTTTGCCTCTTCACATAGATTTTTAGGTCCAAAAGGGAACATTAGGACCATCTAATCTCACTTGCTGATTATTGCAGGCTATCAAGCTTCGCTTAGCAATTCCTGAAGCAAGCCCTTGCCCATTTTTCAAAATCTATTTGTAGGCTTATGTATTGGTAATCCAGAAATTGTACGGGAAGGTTACAGTGCATATAGTAGAGCAACAGGTCAAAAGAAAAAAACTCATTTTACAGCCACATTTTCACCAGATTTGAAACCTGTGTCTTTATTACAGAAATGGTTATTAAATTCCCAGCCACAAATCAGAGATGGTCTTACGACACATGCAGCCTATTACCCGCACTTCAGTTGCAACTTCAGCTTTATAGAGGTTTTGCCAGTTCATATATTATCTCAGTTAGTATTTCAGTCAGACTATTTCATTAATTTCGTTCTGCTAAGTTAACTACCTGTTGAGACCAGTTATGTTGGAAGGGAGTGCGAGATGAGCTCCCAGACCACAGATTTACACTTTCTTTGTTTTACGAATGGTGAGAAGTTCTCAGGAAGCTTCTGGCCTTTGTTCATGAGGTCACACCGTGCTACAGTGTGTTGCATATTGTAATGGACCGACATTTTCTGAATGACAAAGCACCATCACTCAACCTCCTTGCAATCTGAAGTGATTCTACATAAAATGATTTTGCTTCCAACCAGCACAGCTGCTGCCCTTCCAGCTGAAACTGGAAAAATAGGGAGGCAAATAAGATAATCCAGTGACAAATGGCAAAGACATTTTCAGAGGGCCCTCCTAGGTCACCAGGTGGTAATTTGTAGTTAGTTATTTTTAAAAAGAAGGGGTATTTTCTCCCCTCCACTTTCAAATTATTTTTCCTCACCTTCTTACTGCTTTGTTGTTTTATTTTTAAAATATGAACAATGAGAGGAAAAAAAAGTCACGAGATGTTGTTACAATGCACAAAAAGCGCAAAAAAAGCGTGCTATGAAACATATATTTTGGAAGCCCAGCTGAGAGATCCTTGTGCAAGAAGTGGAGGGATGTTAGTGTATATACAGCATCTCCAAAAGGGTGTCCAGTCTGAAAGAGCCAGGTATTTTAGCTGCATTGATTCCCTACAGACAGATGATGGGTTTTTTTTTTTTTTTCCCCAGTGGTTCCTTTTAATAAGGATCGAGTGCCCAGAATTGAGGAATACCTTTCCCTGACTTGGAATCAGGTCCCTCTATGCTTAAGTTAAGTACATGCTGAAATACCCGCACAAGACTGGGTCAAGGCATATGAAGGTGCTAAATGCCCAGCTCAGAGCTGAGTGCTCAGCTCCATGTCCTACTCCTGCTGCCTGAAAAATGAGCAGTTGCTCATAGGGCTAGTTTCCAGGCTTGGGATAGTGGTAGGAAAATATAAATACAAGGATGCAGTGGAGGAAAAAAACCTTCTGCTTGCAAACAGGAGCATACCTCTTTGATTTAAAATAGATATCATGTCTCAAAAGTAACAAAATGCTGTCATTACGTGGACCGTTGAGATCATTCCCCCGTGTGTCCCTGCCTGGGGCTAAGGAAATTGTTTGAATGTTAGAAGTTGCTGTGCTGGCTGAATGGATTTGCATTTTTCCTCCTGTCAGTATCTCAGGATATCTGGAAATACAAGCAGTGAGCCTTCTAGCATGGTACCGTGTTTGCAGCTTGAACATAAAAGCACAAACAAAAATGAGAAAAACTCACATGAAATGCTTACTTTGATGAATATTGTCAGCAGTTTTGTTCAAATCAGTAAACAATGTTTTCCAGAGGAAAACATTCCTGATAATAGCCTGTTTTTTTTTTTTTTTTTTTTTTTTTTTTTTTTTTTTTTTTTAGCAGAGCAGCATTTAACAGTTTCTAAATATTTTCCAACAGTCAGTCCTGTGCAGAAGTTAAAGACCTGGTGTTTTACAGTGTGGAAACTTGGGAAGAGACATCAGGAACAAGGCCTGGACATGTCCAGGGCTGCTTCCTCCTTGTGTGCATTGAGTGCCCTTCTGAAGGTGGTGAAGATTGTAGAAGCCCGTCCTGACTGGGGATGCATTTTAAGGAGTCTCTCCCAAAGATTTTACCATTAAGGGCATGTTGGAAACGGTCTCTGTGCCTGAGACAAAATTTTAAGTTTAGTAAAACAAGTGCTGGAATGAGAGGAAGACAAGTACCCTTGTGAACACCTAAGGACTACTTGGTAAAGTCCAAGTACCTAAGGACTGCACTGTCCCTATAGTCCCTATTAGTTACACTGTGTGCAGTCCGGTATCCTGAAGACAGGTACATCTGAAATCATCATTTTCCAGGCACTGGCTCACATGGGTGGCTCTACACAGGGCACAGATCACACATTTTCCTGCTCTTTGTGCCTGCACCATTCACAGTTTTTGCAGACTGCTGGAAAAACCT